CACGCTACAAAGTCTTGTCAACAGCTTCGGCTGTCTTCTACTGAACCAACAATCCCTGACAGCAATACCAGCCATGAACACACATTTGGGAAGGGTAAAAGGATCCTTTACATATTAATGATGAAAGCAAAGCTACAAAGACCAGCATTGCGGTGGTGTTTCAGTACAAATCAGTTGTTTTAAGACTTCCACGACATACCTAAGTGAAATAACACACACATAGTGCCAGTTTTCACTACAAGAGAACTCTGCCTAGCTGAGGGAAAATCCAGCACCCATCATCACTTCGGAGCACTTGGTATGTGGGGAGGAGACAACTGCAGAGCAGCCCAAGCAGCTCGTGGAAGCCTCACAGAGAAAGGTCTGACACAAAAACCTTCAAAAGAAAAGATCAGGTATTACTCTGCCAGTCACTATAGCAAAATGTGTACTTCAGTCATGGTATCCAGTAACCTAGCAGCTCTAAGCTAAAGGGAAAAAAATCTCAGAGGAGAACAGGAGCAGAAGTTTGCAAATCAATGAAAGAGCCGAATCCAGACATAGTGTCCTAGGCTGTAGCTCACAAAGATGTTTTGAACTATCACTAAATTCATCACAGAACTGGGATTTTTTTTATACTTTCCAGAAGAAAAATAAGAGATATTGTAAGATTAATTTGTAACAGGAATACTAAACAGTATTACCTCACCAAATGTTAAGTCACAGGAAATATGAAGAGCTTGTTTCATGGTTTCCAAGAAAATAAAATAAATACTATGAACCTGAAGTCCAAGGAGGGTAGTCTGATCAGTTCTTTTAAAACCCTCATATTGTGGGAAAGCAAATAAACAAAATTAACCAGGGAAGATTACTTACAAGGAAATATTAATTTCTCCTTCTCTACTTCAAAACCCAAGAACAAAAGGTGGAAGTTGGGGTGAAACTCACATATTACTGTTGCACTGGGTAACAAAACATTAGCCCCTCTTTAGCTCTTAGAATACTTAATCAGAAATAACAGGATCATTTCAGACAGGATGCTGAGTAGCAGCATCAATAACTCATCTGTAATTCATCTTCTGAAAAAAAACACTCTAATTTTAAGTTAGTCCTGATTTCACATACCAGTAAGAAATAGTTTTGCATGACACAGAGATCCCAAGATCCCGAATTCCCAGTTTAGTACAATATACTCCAAGTACAGTTTTTACCTTGTAAAAAATGATCCTTTAAAAGAGAAGATGAATCCCCAAATTAAAACTTCAGAAAATATCACAGGAACTCGTATTTGCTTCTGTTTTAAGAAGCCTGGCATTTAAAAAGCATAACGTGTCCTCAGCAGTGTGGAAAACTCAATGCAGTTTAATTGCTTAATAAATTCTAGACAAATTTCCCAAAATTATACTGAATAGTATTGCAAAATTGGTGGTGGTGAAGGGAATCGGGGCATCATTACAAAAGCATTCAAGCTAATTCAATTACTCAAGTGTCACATATTACATGCCAGAGGTCTCTTCATCAAGAAGACCAAACCAGGTGGCACATCAAACACTGTCACTGGCAGTTGCATGCCAGTCTCTTTTAGCAGACTGTGGAGGACCTGAACACACTGTAATGCACATGCTGACTTAGACATTTCAAATGCAGCTGATAAACGTGGCATGATGCAATCGGATGCTACTGCAGCTACCCAAAATTTTGCAACAAAGAGCACACTAAAGAGATTTGGTTCACTTCAGAGTGATCTACAGCATTACTTTTGGGCACTGGAGGCTTGAATTGCTTGGCCATAAAAAGATGAAGCTCATTAGTACCTAGAACTGTACCAAATACTTTTAGTGCCTAACACTACAAAACCAAAGTGACAATTGCTTTGTTCTTTGGGAAAAGGACACTGAACAATCAGAGAAACAGAAGGCAAGAGTTTACAGAAGGTGTTCAATACCTAACATCCACTTGAAAGCAGCTGAAGCGCTTTTGAGAATCTTTAATTTAGCCATTACCTGAGGAAGTTTTTACCTCCACTCAAAAACGACCAGAAATGGGCTACCCCTTTAATTTCAATCCAAGGATGCTGCAAAGATTGTAATATTACACCAGGGATTTCAAGCATCTTCACACCATCTTTCATGCATTCTCCTCTGCAGCAAGAATTACAACTTTCAGATCAAGCAAATAAGCACTAATGCAGAACAGAGGTCTCAAGTCCTGCCACTTAGCACAAAATTATGAATGTTAGTCCTGCAATCACTGAAATTGCTCTATGTAATAACTAAAGATCCCAGCTGATTTAATTTCTCTTACTGTTCGTTTAATATCATAAAAAAGGTAATCTACTGCCTGGCACTAGCACTTTCTTAGTAGTTCAGATATCAAAAGTATTTAAAAGAAACGAAAGAAAAACTCACTTTTCCTTGCTTTTGATTACAAATACAGTTAAATACAGACATGTAACTGTATATACTTATATGTCTACATCTATAAAAGAATAAAATCCTCACAACGCTAGAGTAGTCTCAGTATAAAAGACACAATTAACATACATTTCCATGCTACTTGCACAATAACTTAGTATCAGACACTTCTTTCATCAGACACTTTCATCTCAAACTTCTAGAGACAAAGCATGAAGGATCGGAATGTGTTTTAAGGTGTTCTCCGTGATCATGGAAAACATCATAATTGTAGTATTATTTATTTCAAATTAAGCAACTTTCCCTGTGACCTGCATGTTTTATTATTAGCATACATTTGAAAAAAAAAATACCTTTATGCTTAGTTTGCAGCACAATGGACACCACCATTGAAGGAAGTGATACGGGATTATGAAACAGATGCTTCAAGGAGCTCTAAGAACTTTTTTTTTATTCATCTAATGAATTTAGAAGAGAGGCAAAGGAAAAATAGATTTCCAATATGGGACCTCTCATATGAATTCTAGTTCTTCATATGTGCAAAATACATGGGCAGAATTAACAGATGAGCTCTGGCAATACTTTAACAGAATACATGAAGGCAGAGTCCTAGTCTAACCCTTTTCCCCTGAAGGCCACATCTGTGCACAGCAGGCGAGATCATCTCCAGAATTCTACAAAATAGCAAAATTATTGAGTTTCAGATGGAGGATTTCTTACTGAGAGCTACAGCAAACAAACTAGTTCATGGTCCAAATACCACATTTTAAAATTTGACAAAAGAATAGTTTTGACTTATCAAGCATGGAAAATTCTCTGTATTCAGACTAACATCTGAAACTGCTTCTAACAGAATGCTACCCAAATACAAATATCATAACAGTGAGTTGATACCACACTGGTATTTCCAGTTTGCTGAAAAACTTGTTCTCTCATTCTCATCTATCATCGACAAAGGAACATAGTTTAGACAGCCAGTTTTATGTCAAAATAACAGAAATGGGGGTGTCAAAATTATTTTTGTTATTTGCTCACATGTTTTCCATTGTTTTCAGACGGTACTGTAATGCATTTATCTCTTGCAGAATTCAGGTCCCCTTCACAAAACATACCATCTGCTATTGCACTGAGATGGAAAACAAGAAAGTCTTCCCTTATCTGAATGAATGTGAAAGTTAAATCTGAGCATCGAAAAAGTTATGGATTTTCTAAGACGTTAATCCTGAGTGCTTGCACACAGACTGTATCAAACAAATTTTTTTCTAATTAACTTAGGCAGACAACCGAGTCAGAGAACTAAACAACATGGCTGCATCATTTAGCCTGGATACAGTCGTGTTTCAGAGCTATCTTATCATCTAACACTAAGACATAAGACAGCCCATTACCAATTAAAACTTATTTCAAGTAGGTTAGAAAAGAAAGCACGCAGCCATCAAACTCTGGTACAGCTAAACAAGGCACAGCTGGTCCTTATTGATTCTTCACACCACAATTCACAGTGAGCACTTTGTTTTCTGCAGTTTCAAGAAATACGGGCATTTTAAAACAGGATTTTCAAAACAGGAATTTTATAAAACAAAGTAAAATGGAAGCACTCTGGGATATATGCGTACATCTGTACACACGGACCCCAAGAGCCACCACATCTCGACACGCGATGTTCGCCCATCCACACGTACACAAAGTCTGCAGAACACACTGGAGTAACTGGGATGTTCTATGTACGGGGAACACTTCGGTTCAAACTTTTCATCGCAAGTGCCCGAACACTGCTCTGGTCCGGCCCCGTTAACACTTTGCTGCTCTCTGCTCTGTCTCTCACCGGCCCCATCGCGCTCCCCGGGCTCGGGGGGCGTGGGGCCACCAGATCCAACCCGGGGCCTTTTCCCCGCCGGAGCCACCGCGCCCGGGGCGGCTCCTCCCGTACGAGGCGAGCTCTTGCGTTTCTTTTCCCAAAGAAAGTTGTTACGGCGAGGAGAGGCCCGGCCGATCGCCCCTGAGCCCCCGCGTCCCGCGGGAGGAACGGGAGCGGCGCCGGGAAGCGGCCGCGGCCTGAGGGACGGACGGACGGCGCCGCTCCCCCCGAGCTGCCGCCTCCCGCAGCGGCGGGGCCGGCGCAGCCCCCGCTGCCCTCCCCGCCTCGTTCGGAGAAAAACAGGAACCCGACCGACCCTCCCGGCCCCGGGGCGCACCTGCGGGCCCCAGCGGCGGCCCGGGGCCGGGCTGCCCGTCCTCGCCGAAGATCAGCCTGAAGTCGAACTCGTCGGTGGCGCCGCAGTTTGCCGTAGTCATGGGTTTGGCCGGCGAGGCGCAACGAGACCCCGTCGCCCCTCAGGGCCGCGCCGGGTCCGGCCGGGCTGCGCTCGCCCCTCAGGGCCGCCGCATAACACCGGGCGGCGGAGGGGCCGGAGGGGGGGCGGCGGCGCGAGCGGCGGCTGCGGCCCCAGCGCAAGCTCCGGTGCCCGGGCGCTTCTGTCACTCGGGGGGGGGCGGGCGCCTACTCCGGGCTGAGCCTGGACCCGCCCCCGCGCCGCGCCCCGGGCAGCGACCCCCGCCCCGCCGGGCCCTCCCACCGTCCGTCCGTCCGTCCCTCCCGCGGTGACGTCACGGCACCGACAGCGTCCCGTCACCTCCGACCGCGCCACCGAGGAACTGAGAGAGACACCGCCTCGCCCCGGGCCGCGGGGCCTGCCGGGAGTTGTAGTCGGCGGTCGGCGCCCAATCAGACGCAGCCAGCGGCTCGCGGGGGGCGGGGCCGCTCGCGGGGCGCGGTGCCACGTGTCGGCCCCGCCGCCGCCGAGCAGCGCCCGCCCCGCTCCGTGCGGAGCCCGAGCCCGAGCCCGAGCCCGAGCCCGAGCCCAGCCCGAGCCCGAGCCCGAGCCCGAGCCCGAGCCCGAGCCCAGCCCGAGCCCGAGCCCGAGCCCAGCCCGAGCCCGAGCCCGAGCCCGAGCCCGAGCCCGAGCCCGAGCCCGAGCCCAGCCCGAGCCCGAGCCCGAGCCCGAGCCCGAGCCCAGCCCGAGCCCAGCCCGCTCCGGGAGCCCTCCTGCGAAGCGCAGACGGCCCCGCGCCAGAGCAAAGGGGCAGAATTCCCTTTTGGCGTGCGCAGCGTTACTTTCTAAAACACCGCATGTAAATAGATGGTGCTCTTGGCACCAACTAATGACTCGAATAATTAGGTAGGATGGCGTAAGCTCAGGAATGTCGCTTGGGTAACAAATGCTGGCTCCAAGACTCAAAGCATTTAGCTCCTTGCCTTCCGGCTCAGTGGGAACAGTGGCAATCAAGCAAATAGAACCACAGAATATTGAGCTGGAAGGATCCCCCAGCTCCTGGGCCTGCACGGGACACCCCCAATCCCACCATGTGCCTGAGAACCTGCCCAAGCACTCCTTGAGCTCTGGCAGGTTTGGTGCTGTGAGCGCTTCCTTCGGGAGCCTGTTGCAGTGCCCAGCCACCCTGGCTTGCACTGTGACACTTCCTCATGCGCTTCACTTTCTGGTCACCACAGCTGCTGCACCGAGGTTCTGGAACTCTGGGGAATTCTCCTCCGAAACCAATTCCATAAAGAATTTTAAAGCATGGAATAGTGTCTTCCCAGTCTTGTATTTTGTGAGATCTGCATCTAGAAGTTTTTAACTATAAGGAAACTAATTAAAATATTCCTTAGCAATGTGTGTCATCAATGAAGGGAGCCCAGTAGTCAGCAGGAACTTCAGGATGCTCTGCCTGCATGATAATATACCATAATCTATAGTTTTGCCTTGCACTAAGGTGGAAAGACAAAAAGAAGGGCAAAATAAAATATAGAATTTAAGTTGTTCTTACAGCATGAGCTGTTCCCTGCAGGAGATGGCAGCATAGAAACTGTAACTGTCCTGATGTGTCTGGAATTTGCACTCTAAAAATCATAGAGCAACTTGAGGTGAGCTTAATACTTGAGTCCTGTGTCCAGTTCTGGGTCCCTCAATTCAAGAAAAACATTGAGGTGCTGGAGCATGTGCAGAGAATGGCAACAGAACAGGTGAAGGGTCTGGAGCACAGGTCCTGTGAGGAGTGGCTGAGGGAGCTGCGGGTGTTTAGCCTGGAGAGCAGGAGGCTCAGGGGAGACTTTATCCCTTTTCCACAACTCCCAGAAAGGAGGGTGTAGCCAGGTGGGGGTTTCAGCAACAGGATGAGAGGACAAGGTCTTCAGCTATGGCAGGAGAGGTTCAGATTGGACATCAGGAAGAATTTCTTCACAGAAAGGGTTGTCAGATATTGGAAGGGGCTGCTCAGGGAGATGGAAGAGTCACTATTCCTGGAGGTGTCCAAAGAATGACTGGACATGGTGCTCAGTGCTCTGGTCAGGATGACAAGGTGGTGATCAGTCAAAGGTTGGACTCAATCATCTTGGAGGTCTTTTCCAACCTAAATGATTCTGTGATTCTATTCTATGGTTCTGACTTAATGAAATAGTCACTGTGTGCTGTAGAATTAGTAAAATATTACATATAATTTAATAATAATCTATTTTAGATTTTAGGTTTGTGCTGAAACTTGGGCATTGATGGGATTTAAACTACTACTCACAAATAGTCAACTTTGCCTATAGACAGTTATGTAATATTCACAGTTTAATTTGTCATGGGATATGAAACATATTAACCAGAATTATCATTGCTATCTCTAAGGTTTCATTACTCAGTTGAAAAATCAGCTGAACTAGTCAGTGTGTTGTGACTCCATGGCCATCTGGAGATTAATATTGTTTGATTCTAAAATGATTCCAATCGTTTCTACGCACAGTGTCTTTCCATGTTTGTTGCTGTTTAGACAGATCCAAACAGGCATGTCATAATCCCAGGCATGCATTTGTACCTGGATGTGCTCGTTAGAGCATATGAAAGAAGGTGAGGAAAGAAGGTTCACGTGAAGAGGAATTAGCTACAGTGAATAATCCTCAGTCCAGAGGCTCTTAACAGAGTGCAGTGACTTCTCTGCGAATTCTCTCTCTGTGCACTTCTGAGGAAGGTAATCAGTAATCTGTGCTGAAGAAGGCAAGCCTAAATGAAAAGCTACTTTGTGACATTACGATTCTAGTGGAAACAGAACGCATAATATTAAAAAATACTTTGCAGAACTTGGGACAGCAGGAGTTTGCCCAAGTTTGCCCAAAATGGGAAGTTGCTTCTAGTGCAAAAGCAGCCATATGTTTTTTACTTATCTTGTAAAGCACTGTCCTTGCCATTATCACTTCCCACACACCACTAGCTATTTCTTTACTGAAAATACATGAGCAGCTACAGCTACAGTTCTTACAACATTTAAACCAAAGATTCCTGCTCTTCACGTTAGAGTAGACAATTCCCTCTCCTGAAGAAAGACTGAACCTTTATAAGGAGCTCACACCCAGTTGGCCTGTAGCCTCTTTTTATCTCTAAATCCAAGGTCACGTAGCAAGACAAGCTGGAAAAGTATGTGTAATTGGATTAACTGTGGTTAAGAAAAACCCTCATACATTCTTGAATGAAAACAGATCTACGATGAACGAGTCAGTAAAATACACTATACATAAAATGACTTTTAACAGCTAATTTTTGTCTGAAAGCGTTTGGGTAATCCTGCTTTTCAAAGCAGCTGAATTAGACTTTGTCTTATTGTTAAATAATTATTGTGTCAGATTACAGCAAATGGAGCAACCACAGCAGTTTCCTGTTCTGTTATACCAGTAGATTATTCATTATGCATGTCCCTGGTGAAAAATACAATCAAACTTGTTCTCTTCATAAGGGGGATTTGAACACAAGTATTTGATCCATGTTCTTTGATAAGATGTTCAGAGTATATTTCTAGTGAATATGCTAAATTAAAGATTTTCATATTAATGACTTGTTCATTTTCCTTAACTATAAAATTAATCTTGTCTCCTCTTTTTTTGTCTCCACTATTCATTCAGAAAGCTATGATATAAGCAGGACATTAGGTATTGCTTTTAGTCTTACCTACTGCTGTCAACTGAAAAAGAAAATGGCCTATATTCCTAAAATAAACAGAGTAATTGGTTATGACATGGTCACCTAGCTAACAAGGCAAGAATTTAGAGAATATGTAAAAGGTGGTATTGTAAGTTATTTACAGTAAACTTTATAAAGCTTTATACTTCAAAAGCAGATATCTGTCTTTGACTTCAGTACTTCCATTGCAAATATCATCCTCCTATCTCGTCTTCACCATAGCTTTCATTTTGCTGACTCTGTTGTACTGCACCAAAAAGCACATCCTTTCTGCATTTGCAACTGTAAAGAGAAATACACCTTCAAACCTCTTCTACACAGCTAAAGAGTAATTGGGGTGTGACTAGGAGTGAGTTGGTAAAACAACTGACATGAGTGAGCTCACATCAATTTCCAGGGAATTATGTCAACCTCTGTGCTTGAGGTCCAGGGCATGGATGGCTGATTTGGCTTTTGTTGGCTACTGAAAAATGAAACGGTGGCAGTAACAAGGGCAACTTTATTTCACTTGTGGTTTTGTGAGGAGAAGCTTCTTTTATTTATTCATTTATTTAATATGCATAGGTGGTTTCTGTCCTTGTTGCTTCTAGGCTGTGTTATTGCATCCAGATGGGGATACACCTTGATCTGGTCAGGAGCTGGAGTTATTGCATGTGACTTGAGAAGGAAGGAACGTGCTTCCTGTGGTATTTGAATCCTTTCCAAACTGCGGCTATTTTTTAGGCGTGTTGTGACTTTCGGCTCCAAAAACCTGAGGGCTACATTATGCTGTGTTTTATTTTCCACACATCATCCGATGCTGGATAGCCAGGAATTCTGGATCTGCAGCCACATCCCAGATCTGTATTTGTGTTGGAGTAATAGGGATTCCTCCCCCCTTCCTATGGGCAGCAAATCAAAGCCAGCTGTGCAATTGTAGCCAGAATAGGCTTTGGAAGACGCATGGTCAGGCATTCGTTCTGCATGATTCAATCAACCAAACAGCCTCGAATTAGGAATATAACACAGAAGGTTGCATTTCATGTGCTTGATCTCATTCCCATTTGTGGTTGAATCTGGACCTGTTTAAAAGCCACACACACCAGCGTGGCATAGAAAGGGCAGATGAGAAAGCACAGAGAAAGAGTCCTGGATTGAGCAGATAGTGTTCCTTGGCTGCAGCAATGGTTATGCCTTTTACAGCTGCTATTGAAGAAAGCATGAGTACAACAAGGGGCATTTTTTGATCAATGGGTATACTTAATACTCTTAAACTCATTTGCAAATGGCATACAAACAAAATTATCACAGCCTTCATGTCTCTTACAGCTAACAAGGCACGTCCATTGTTTAAGCAAGCAGAATGGTGTTCTGCAGGAGAAAGATAATATTTCAGTATTGAGCCTGTGTTGAAGAAGGTTAAATTCAGCAGTCATATAGGAAAGAGGCTTGCATTCTGCACACAAGGTCATAGGTTATTTATATTTAATATGTGACATCTGGCATTTTAAATAATTTCCTTGGCTAATTACCAGTGCCTGGGTGAAATATGAAACTTCTGCCATTGGGGAATTAAAAGCAAAACAAAAACAAAAGTAGATTGCATAGCATTGGAAAGTTTCCTAGCAAAATTAGGAGTTTTGCTAATTCAGGCATTAGAATACACAGTAGCAAAACATAGAGTACAAGACAGTAATTTGACTGAACTTTGATAAATTTTCAGTGAAAATCTACAGTCATCCTTTTTAAGTTTTCCAATGTCATGATGTAGTCACACCACTCCTATCTAGATCTTGAGCTTGGTGTTTGATCAATGGGGCATTTGTAATAGCAAGATTACAAAGTTAAAAAAAAAAGGATTGCCTACATGGTGTGTGTTGACAAAAACATACCCACATAAAAACTTAATGAGATCACAGTCTCATGTAACTGTTTTACAGTTTTCCCCAAGAAATTTCATCACTCTCCTAAACCTACTGGAGTCATATTAAATGCATTTTAATATATTTCTCTTCAATATACTTTTACATTAAACAATCATTGCTTTGCTTTATTGTTTGTTTAACATGCCACGTAAAGCAGACATTACTTCATAAAGTTTGCTGCTGCTTTATATTTCTCGAGTTTTACAGACCAGGTTGCAATCCTCCCATTTGGAGGTTACCATCACACATGTTGAAAAGACTAGAGGGTCTAGAAATCTGGCACTGAACTGCATGGCTCTCCTCACAGACTTTATCTTCATAGTATTTTGCTCTCAGGTCATCGAGTGAAAGCAAAGTAAAACGATCAGCTACATTATTACTGATACCAGTATATAAGGACACTCCCAGCACAAGTACTTGTTTCTGAAATGATTGCTTTTACAGATACCTTAGAGTCTTATTACAAAGCCTAAAGTGGTTTGTGAGTGAAATCAGATGACAACCGAGATTGCTACCAGAACAAGAACAAACTCCTTTAATGCACAGTGATGTTTGCGTAAGATAAATATTTGTGGAAACTCAAATGAGGTTTCATAAAAGCTCTTAGCCTTGAAAAAGAAACTAAGATGGCATTTTACTTACTTTCCCATATTTTAAATTTCATTTTCAACTGTTCACTAGCCAGCAGACTGTCCTCTTGTACAGTACTGGGATCTAGAAAATACGGGCTCTGTTCCAAGCTTCCCCTTTCGTGCAGTCTAATTTTCAGACTTCAGAGGGGCACAAGTAACTTGCTATTTATATAGGCACAAACCATTGCCTTAGTTTCTCTCTAAGGTGAGGGTAATATGACTTCTGTTCCTCTTTTCACTTAGATTGCAAATGCATCTGTGTAAGGACTCTCAAGTCTGAAATACTTCTTAGACACTCCATTTGAACATTTAAGCAGCCTGGCCAGATGATTTGGGCTGGTATTTCTCTTTGTACTGGACAAGGAGAAGCATCACACAACTGTTGTAGCAAAATGGAACCTGAGTCTCTGAGCCTTTAGCTATTGTATCCAAGGATCTATAAAAACTATGGTCCTTCTGTGGAGTGGTTCTGTTTTGTTCAAGTGTAATGCACACGCAGTTGAAGGTGCAATGTTTTTTTCTGTATTTCATATATGCACTTGAAATAATTTGATCAGCTTAGGTATCATCACAATCTCATGTGCTTAAGTCATCCCTCCTTATATAATCTAAGAAATGATACACAGACTTTGCTTATCCATAAATTGATGTTTCTTCATCAGCATTTTAATTATCTTCAGGGGTAGAAAAAGAGTATTTCTCCTCATTACAGCTTTTCACCATAATTCAGAAGAACTAGAATAGATGTATTACTAAACTTTTCTTGATGTGCCTATTCCCAGGTTTCCATAGGAAGCCTAATGGGCTCACTCTGGAGCGAGCAGGACTGTCAGCCTAGTGCAAACCACTCTCGTGTCCTTGACTCGGATCAGGCTAAGCCAACATGAAACAATAGGTTCCAGTGGTGCGGAAAACTTTAAAGGCTCCCTGGCAGTTTGGATCTGGGACTTCCACCTTTCCTCTGTGGATCCCTTGTGCAGTCCTTAGAGCACATAGGCTCACACCCCTTGCTTAGCCTGTGCCTAATGAGCTTTCTGACTCAATGTCTTAATTTGGACACAACAGGTTTCAGCTGAGAGGTGAATGTGAACACGACTGCCGTACCACAGCTGTTGCAGGTGCTTATGTGTCTTTTTTGCTGTAATCCACCCCAGTCTAAAGTCAAACAGGCCAGCCAGGTGGTTTACGTTTATTTTTGCCTTTGCATTGGAGTAGAGGCGGTGGTTTTCATTAGCTGCTCTTGCCTCTCCATTTTTTAGTTGATTGAGTTTCCGCCTGGCTTGATGTCCAGATTGCAGCATGTAAGAGGGTTGATTCTTCTTTGACAGAGCAAGGGCTGGGAGCTTTAACGATTCAATTTGGTCACAGAATCAATCCTCATTACAGTCAGTCATCTGATATGCTGCCTGGTCCTGATCCTTATCATTCTATTCCTAACCCCTTCCCAAGAATAGGCTTAGCTGCATCCTCTAGCTCCTTATATATTGGCAGAGTGGATTGGGATAAAGGTGCTGCTGTTTATTAAAAATTTATGGAAAGTAGAAGAGACAAAACACAGAAAGGAATAACTGATTAAATACTATCTCAATATTTTTCCTAGCTGGAGAATGAGCTATTCAATTAATAAAGTGATCCCAGTCAGCTCTGGAAGAATATTACTCAGTAAAGGTTCACCCATTAAAATTAATTTAGTTTTGCTGTATTTGCAGTTCCTATATATTTATTCATCAGATATGTGTAAAAAGAATGGTTTGGCTGGTAATTTATATTGAACAAACCAACAGAGTTTAAATGAATGCTCGCATAAAATGGATTTTTAACATGTATTCAAACTAGAACTCTTATTGCAAGGGTTCAATCATGTCACTTAATCATTGAGCAAAAACAAATCATGTGATCAGTCCTTTTGCTTTCATTATCAAAAAGGCCACAGATGCCTGAATATGCACAAATCATCTGTCTACAAATACAAAATAAAATGTTTGACCTGCTGCTTAGTCCTTTGGAGACCAGGGTCTGGTGCTCCCATATGTTAAGAAGAAATGCCACCAATAAGTACAAGTATTATCCAATTAAGAAAACCAGTAAGCGAAAAGGCTAAACTTGTTAAATTCAACATAATGATATTATTCGACTGGTAAATAATTCTGTGAGGACTCTACCAAATTTAAATATATTACCTTCCCATTAAAAAATGGAATTTGTCTAAAACAATTCTATAATCCATGGCATTAAGAGTGATTCATGTTAAAATACAGAATACATCCATTCTAAAACATGATACATACTTTGGAGTGCTCAAAATATTTTTTCTCGTGTATTTCATTGCATAATGTTTTTTTGAGGTATTATAATTGTTTGACTTTGACAGACTCAAAATATGATTACCTCTACAAAATGTCATGTGCCTTTGTCATTTAAAATGTTGGCTAGTTAACATTTAAAGCGTTCAAGGCTGCACTGCCTCCTGGGAAAAACAATTAACTATTCAGTTTTATTTTTATTCAGTCTGACTTTTTTTAGAAAGCATTTTTTGACACTGAGGTTCACAATCTGTTGATTAATTAGAAAGCAGACAACAATTGCAAAATGTAGCATTAGAAAATTGCAAGCGTTCAGACTACTCTCTAATTTTGTCATTTATTTCTGGTTTCTGTGATTGTTAGGCTAAAATACCATAATAGTAGTTACACCCAGGTAGTAACATATGAGAGGCAAAAAATATAAGATAATGGAAACTCGTCACCTCCATGATGATGGGAAAAATACAGACAGGGAGGTGCTACTAAGTAGTTTTATGGCAATTTTTTCTTTAACTTAATAAACCTTTTTGTTGAACTAAATATACTTAGATAAGAAAAAGCCTCTGGAATCTGCTACTTAGCTTTCCATTTGAATTAAAACATACACATCTCCAGTTTTGCAAAACTAAAAAAAAAGAAGAAACAATCAATCAGCCATGGAGTGGTTTCAGCCAGGCAGGGACTCAGCAGGACTGCATGTACCCACAATCACTATAATGCATGACTTTTTTAGCATGTAGTAGCATTAAGCTGTCCTGAAGGCTCAGCAAAAAAATGCTGAAGAGAACAACAGCTGCCCTTCTTGGTGCTCTCCTGCAGCAGACTCTAATCCTCTGGGTTTATACAGTTGTTCAAGAAACATTAAAAGGAAAAGCCTTCTAAAGCACCAGAGGCACCAAATGGGACATTGCTTGCTCCAAGTTTTATCTGTATTAAGAAAAAGTTGTATTTTATGCTTTAATATTTTTAACAGTAGCACCTTCCAAAACCAGTCAATGTATTAAAGATCCATATCACAGAATGCAGTTTTGTATTTATTATCACAAAGGGAGGGGTGTGTCTGCTACAGTATGACCATAAACTGAAAATGAATCTTTTCCAGTCAAGACAGTACATGAAAGTTATTCGTCTAAGCAGCTTCCAAAGTTGTAAACCCAGTTCAACTGGCTACCAGGCTCTGACTGTGCTTGGCTCAAAACAATTGGTACAGACCAGTGAATTAGACAAAAGATCAAACTAAAAATAGTTTCAACATTAGTATTTATATATCTTCAGAGTATTAAAAATAGTCTTACTGGATTTCTTGGACTTTTTCTCATTGGGGATTCCCTAACAAATAATATTGAGGCTGTAATAAAATTGATGGTAAGAGTTTAAAATTAAGCTTTAAAATTAGTGTAGAAAACATTTGTAAGCCAAGAAATGTTAGAGCAGAACTTGAAAGAAATCCAAACTTTTCAAGGCATAGAACTGCACATAGGATATCCAAGCAATGTTAACTCTTTCCTACATTAGTCCTTCAGTTGGAAAATAAATTTTATCTACTTTTTAATATGCTTTTAATCTGAGATTACGATCTCTTCTTACAGTAAATGATGTCAAGCTTTTGGTATTAATGTATTTCTGGTGTCAATAACTTTGCGAAATATCTAAAACTCTTCTGTTAATTAATGGTAACGTCAGTTGTCTGTGTGAGGCTTCATGTTAGGAAATAGTAGCTATATGTGGTTTATATTGCTAAGGGAATCACAAATAAGAGGTCCTAAAAGGAAAGGAATGGTTGCCAGTAAACTGTACAAGACCAAAGGTTAAGTAACTCTCAGAACATGGGGTTATGGGTTGAAGTAGTTAAAGGGAAAATATCCCAGAAATACATTTCAGAAAATAAACTAATTAACCCATAATATCACCAGAATGACAGGTATTTAAACAAAGGAGAAAGGGTGGATATAATTCCTTTTTTGGGAAATCTACTTCAATATTTATAACTTAACCGGCCCAAATATGACTCAAAATTAAAAATTAAATTAGAATTATGTAGGATTTAAATTCCTTTGTGCTTAATATCCTTGCATTTCTAAGTAATGGCTCAATTGCTCAAGAAAAACAGTATTCTGGAAGGAAAGGTTTTATACTTTTTCTGCTTCCATTCAGGGTGTATTTCTCTAACACCTTAAGCCAACCTAATTTACAGTTGCCCTAGCCTGGCCCTCCACCCTGGCCTGGCTGCTGGGTGATTTGTGCTGATGTGAGCACTGCACACTAAGGCAGCTCAGGGACCTCCGCCAGTGAAAGGCTCGTGCTCCAAAGAAAACAACTTTTTGTCTCGGTTCCCTGAACTGGCTCATTATCCAGTAGCGTGAGTGGCACAAGGGAGGGAGCTCAGCCAGCTCAGCTTCAGCCTCGTTGGACAGGAGCTCCTGGAGAAGCCCGGGGACCCTCAGGTTCCGTGGTTAGCCACCCTCGGGGAGCCCCAGCGCCCGCAGGCTAAAGAGTCACACGAACTATAATTAGCTTTAGGCAGGTAGTGAATTAAACAGATGAAACTTCACCAAACCCGATACTTCCAACATGGGAACAGTAACATCTTTCAGCAGAAAAGTCACGAATGGCCCAGCATGATTTGTTATAAGCGGTTTGGTAGAACCAGCACAGGAAAGGTGCAGTGGGATCGCTGCTCCAGCTGGACGTTTCCCTGTGTGCAAAGGGGGGCTCCACACACTTTCTTCCCTATGACCCCCTTGTATGAGAACTGCCCAAACTCACTAAACCGGATGGAAATGTCTCACTCACTTTTGCTGTGTTAATTTTCTGCCTGGGGCAGAACAAGGTGGGAATGGAGTAATTTTCTTTTGGAAGCAGGTTTTTCAGCTCACCTCAGCTCAGCCTGTGGCTGTTCCCTCTCGGGCTGGGGACTCATGTCCTGGTGGGTGCTCGGGGAAGGGGTGACCTCCCCCAGCTCACTCAGTGACACTCCCTTGCAGTCACAATTTAAATAAGCCACGCTACCCACACAGCTTGAACTGCAGATCTTTCTCTGGGAAAATCAGGATGGAACCTGCATCTCAGTCATAACTTTATCACCTTAGTTTTCTTCGCCAACAGCCCACCTGCCTATGCCTCAGAGCCAATCCTCTGAGGTATTCGATGGGTGTGTACCAGAGTTCTCTCATTATGCGCCAATTTCGCAATGAGGCCACAACAAACATGTTAAAGACAGGGCTTTGCATGTAACCTTTTCCTGTTCCTCTATTGTTGTCTCCTTCTCCATAAAATTAAAACAAAAAGAGCAATTTGTATCAACTGAACACATCTGGTTTCAAAATTAAGGTATTGATAAGGATGAATCTGTTGTTTCAACAGAAATTGTTAATTGCTTGCCTTGTGCCACAAACTGCAGAGATGGGGGCAGAAAAAAAAAAAGGCTTTTAAACCACAGGCTATCTGAAGGTTTGATCAAAGAACAGTATATGGAGAATGAATGCAGGGCAGCAAAGGCATAATCACAGGTTTCTGACCTACAAGACTTGCAGGAAAAGCCAGCCCAAGTCAGGTACAGTACAGAAATCACTGGAATTGGTTCAATTTGACTGAATGCCAGAGCACACTCTAATCCAGGGAACAGAGCCAGACCTGACCCCATTTGCAGGACCTTTGTAGCTGTTTGAAACATGTATCTTTACTGTGCCAGATAACAAACCAAAGATGATATTAGTCTAGCAATTAAAGAATAATTAGCAGAAGAAGCAATGCTTTGATCCATACCAGTTACTTAGACTGCCATTAATGCCAACTGGGATGTATTAAGTACAGATTTTTCTCTAACAATGTTTTAATCCATTTGAACAAATAAATTAATTTAGGCTACATGATAAGTTATAACACCTAAGTCTCAAAACCTCCTCCCTTAGAATCAGCAACCTAGCCATTAAGGTAAATTGAAGTTACAACTACCAGTATTAGGAAATAAATTTAATATTTGCATCTGTTTGTACTCT